GAGAGAAAAACTATAATTATGTGAAAGTAGGAATGAAAAAGGGACATTAGCGCACATACTGTAGATAAAACGTCATGAATTTTGTCCCAATAACTTTGAAAATACAAATGAAATTGACAAATTCCTACAAATATAAAATGTTCTGGAGTGACTCAAAAAGAAATAAAAAACGAAGTCTTATAATTGCTTTTAAAAATGGAATTCACAGTTAAAAATTTTCCCACTAAGGCTTTTGGCAGAGATAAAATCACTGGTGAGTTGTACCAAATATTGAAAGAGCAAGTACATAATTTCAATTTTAGAAAAGCTCTTCCAAAAAATATAAAAAGAGAGAATGCTCTTCAGCTTTTTGAAGATAGCGCCCTGGGAAAACTTTGTCCTAAAAATAAAACAAAACAACAATAAACAAACAAAAAAAACCCGGGAAATTACAGGACAATTGGAACTCCTAAACATAGGCAAAGTCTAAATAAAATATTAGCAAATGAAATCTAGCAATGTATTAAAAGAAGAGTCAACTTGTATTTATTTCAGGAATATATGGTTGTTTAAAAAACAACGTAATTCACTACATTAATAAAGAAACTCATATGATCATGTCAATGCAGAAAAACCTTTGATAACATTCATTCATGACCCCCCCCCCCGAAAAAAAAGCACTCTTAGCAAATTAGGCATACAAGGGAATCTCTTTTACCTGATAAACAATTTCTTCTATAAAACCTACATCAAATAACATACGAATAAATGCTGAAAGCCATCTCTTTGGGATCAGCAACGATACAAGAATGCCTACTAAACCACTTTTATTTAATATTGCACTGCAGGGGTGCCTGGGTGGCTCAGTTGGTTAAGCGTCTGACTTTGGCTCAGGTCATGATCTCACGGTTTGTGAGTTGGAGCCCCGCGTCAGGCTCTGTGCTGACAACTCAGAGCCAGGAGCCTGTTTCGGATTCTATGTCTCCCTTCCTCTCTGCCTCTCCTATGCTCTGTCTCTCTATAATAAATAAATGTTAAAAAAAAAAAAAACAACTGCTTTAATATTGCACTGGAGGCTCTAGCCAACTTAAGAAGACCAAAAGAAAAAAACCAGATGATTAATATTTAAAAGCACAAGGAGTGAGGGGTGCCTGGGTGGCTCAGTCGGTTAAGTGTCCGACTTCGGCTCAGGTCATGAACTTGCGGTTCATGAGTTCAAGCTCTGTGTTGGGCTCTGTGCTGATGGCTCGGAGCCTGGAGCCTGCTTCAGATTCTGTGTCTCCCTCTCTCCCTCTGTTTTTCCCCCGCTCCCACTGCCTCTCTCTCTTTCTCTCAAAAATAAATAAAGATTAAAAAAATAAAAATAAAAGTACAAGGAGTGGGAGGGAAGAAATAAAACTATCATTATTTGCAGGTGATATAATTATTTTAGAAAATCCAAAAAAATCTGAGTGCAAATTACTAAAATTAATAGCAAATGAGGCAAGATGACTAGATAGTGGATTAAAATACAGAAACAATTTGCATTTCCACATACCAGTAACACACTGTTAAGAAACATAATTCAATAAAGATACCATTTGCATGACTGTGTATACATTTGACAAAACTCATTCAATTGTACACTTGAAGTGGGTGCCTTTATCATATGTAAATTATATCTCAAAAAAACCTGTAGAAAAAAGGACACCATTTGCAACAGCAACAAATATACAGAAGAATTTTTTTTTTTAATTTTTTTTTTCAACATTTATTTATTTTTGGGACAGAGAGAGAGACAGAGCATGAACGGGGGAGGGGCAGAGAGAGAGGGAGACACAGAATCGGAAACAGGCTCCAGGCTCCGAGCCATCAGCCCAGAGCCTGACGCGGGGCTCGAACTCACGGACCGCGAGATCGCGACCTGGCTGAAGTCGGACACTTAACCGACTGCGCCACCCAGGCGCCCCAACAGAAGAATTTTTAAAAGTACCAAAGAATCAGGGTGCCTGTGTGGCTCAGTCGGTTAAGTGTCCGACTTTGGCTCAGGTCATGATCTCAAAGTTTGTGAGTTCGAGCCCTGCATCGGGCTTTGTGCTGACAGCTCTGAGCCTGGAGCCTGCTTCAGATTCTGTCTCCCTCTCTCTCTGCCCCTCCCCTGCTCGTACTCTGTCTCTCTCTCAAAAACAATAAACATAAAAAAAATTTTTTTAAGTACCTAAGAATTAATCTATCATATATAATAACTTTCTGGGGAAAACTATGAAGTTTTAATGAAAGGCACAAACTAATATTTACTTTTTTAATATTTATTTTGAGAGAGAGAGAGAGAGAAAATGAGTGGGCAAGTGGGGAGGGGGCAGAGAGAGAGGGAGAAAGTCCAATGTGGTGCTTGATCTAACAACCATGAGCCCATGACCTGAGCTGAAATCAGGAGTTGGATGCTTAACCCACTGAGCCACCCAGATACCTCAGCACAAAATGATATTTAAATAAATGCAAAGATATAACACATTCATGACATGGAAGACTTAATACTATAAAGATGTCAATTCTTCTCTATTTGATTTTTAGATTCCATGAATCTCAGGTCAAAATCCCAACAAAATTTTATGAGGGACTCAATAAACTGTCAATAAAATTTATATGAAAGAGCAAAGGGCAAAAAAATACACAAGACATTCTAAAAAAAAATTACCTAATCCCTTATAGTAATTAAGATAGCATGATGTTGGTATAAGGATAGACAATTTGACCAAAGGAACAGGAGAGTCCAAAACCAGACCATGCACATTTGGACACTTCATTTATGACAACTGTGGCAATGTAGGTCAGTGGAGAAATGACTGATCACCCAATAAATGGCCCTGACACAAGTTATTATTCAAATGCAAAGAGAGAGAGAGAAAGAGAACTGGATATTCTATACCACACCATACACAAAAGTCCATTCTACATAAACTAAAAACATTAGTGAAAGGGACATCTTCAAAACTGAGAGAGAGAGAGAGAGAGAGAGAGAGAATGAGAAAACCACTACAATACTGGAGGAGCAAAAAAAAATTTTTTTAATCAAAAAATGTAACAAACACTAACCAAAAAGGGGAAAGGTTGAAAAGTTTAATCAAAAAGTGGATTACAAGCAATAGGTAAAATTCACTATGGAACACAGTGGGGAACAAAAGTATCTATTTTTTTCCCAGTAAGAAGAAGAAACCAAAAGACGAGCAAAAAAACAGTACAAGAAAGTCAATCCAGTTATAAAGTCAACAGGCCTGATTTTGAGCCATCAGTGGTGTGTACGGGGGACGACCCCCCTGCACCCCGACAGGAGGTACCTGCACAGACAGGGATGGGGGCGCCGGCACCACGAGGAAGAGTTCACAGAACCGAAGCGCACTGACTCTGCAATGAACATGAACTGTAAGTGCTGCTGTCGGGTTTTCAACTTTTAGATTTGACCCTTAATGAATCTCAGAAGACTTAGTTATGGTCACTGAAGAGAACAGAAATATCAGCATTGACAATACAAAAGACAGATGACAGAAGTCAGGAGGCAAAAAGAGAAGGGAGAAGTAGAGAGAAGGTACTAATTTCCTCAGTTCACACAGTGCAAGTCAAAAGAAGTTACAAGATATAGAGGTTTAGGATTAGTATTTAAAATTACAAAGGTAAAAGTAAAATAAAATAACAGGTAATCAACTTTAAAAATGGTAATATAATCATGAAAAACTGGGATGGGTTGATACGTAGAGTTATAAGTGAGACTGGTTCCTTACACAACAGAAGGAATTCAACAGTGTCCAAAATTGGGAAGTCAAAAAATGGGGCTCTGAATACATCAGAGATATCAAGGTATCTGCCAGCAAATCTAAAAGCCAGACAACACACAACGAAGTGTGGGAGAATGTGCTGCATTTCATTTTATGCTCTTTTATTCTAAAATTTTTAATCTATAGGTATGTATCATTTTAAAAGAAGTTTTTCAGATTATTGAATGAGAAAGAAAATAAAAGATCAAGAACCCTAACTGCTTTTTTAAGGAGGTTAAAGAAAACAGATGTCTATTCCAACAGAAAAACTTCTCGACACCCAAGAAAGACTCATGATCAAAAGCCTACTGACTTTATCCAGGAGGACACATAACATCACCATTTAATTCAAAGTGAAGAAACCAGTTTAGAGGCTGAATCTTAAAGTTTCATTGTTTCTCCTCTTCCTTACTCTTCCTCTTTCTCTACTTCTCTTTTTTGATCCTGTCTGGCTTTCTTTCATTTAGCATGAATATTCAAAGAAAGTAAAAATAAAACACCAGTTTTATTTACAGAATACAATCTTGTGTTTCCTAATTTTCTCTCAATACAAAAAATAAAAATAAAAAAACCAACAAATTAAGTTGATTTTCATTTCCATGTTGTCTGAACCAGTTTTAAACACCTCTGTGGGCATTACAGCCATAGAGAAGAAATGATCACTACCGCTGATTTAAGGAAGAACACGCTAACAACAAAAGGTAACCTTGCTAAAACCAGTTCAATAATTACTCTTCAATATATTAATTAATGTTTCTCTTTGTGATCATTATCACTTAGACTTCAGGGCTCAGGAGCTATATGCTTCCATGTAAATATTTATGGTGATTTAAATAAATGAAACCTTGAAGTCTTTTTTTTTTAATTTTTTTTTTATTTTAACGTTTATTTATTTTTGAGACAGAGAGAGACAGAGCATGAGCAGGGGAGGGGGAAAGAGAGAGGGAGATACAGAATCTGAAACAGGCTCCAGGCTCTGAGCTGCCAGCACAGAGCCCAACGCGGGGCTCAAACTCACGAGCTGTGAGATCATGACCTGAGCCGAAGTCGGATGCTCAACCGACTGAGCCACCCAGGTGCCCCAAAATCTTGAAGTCTTAAGCTCCCCAAAAGTAAAGTAAAAACCAGAAGGTTAAATGTTCATGTTAGGTAAGTTGGCTGTGATCCAAAAGAATTCAGCAAGGTCTCCATTTCAGTATAATCCATATCCACATCCAGGTGTATACTTACACTATATTTGCAAGGTCAAGTGGTTTCTCTGGTTGCTCAGGAAAAACAGGATGTGGGGGTTCTCTGGTGGGTACACACCCCAAAGATTTACTAATTGCATGGCTCAGCTTCTTTGCAGGGGATTTCTGTGTCAAAGTAGAAAATAAGGAAATAAGAAATTAAATCTTCAAAATAATGAAAAGGAATTTCCAAAGAACTTGGTGACAAGAACTAAAGAAAATATCTTAAATACAAGCTAAGGTTGCATTATAATCAACCTTACTGGGCCTTACAGAATGGGACCTACAGTTGTCCCAAGGTCATTTGTGGTCCTTCATTTCTATACTTACTCCCTCATTTCTACCATGCAGTCAGACTATAAAGTTAACGTTAACTTTCCTTTCGAACATCTCTCTGTGCCCTTTGCATGAACTCTCTCTTCTGATGCTTCTGGATCATTTTTGGTAAGATGTTACAGTTAATTTCCCAATCAGAGTCAGAAATTTTTGGTGGACTAAAATACTAAAAGGCTAAGATAATGCTGAGAGCTCGTGGCTTTTGAATGTTAGCAAATTAGCTGACGAAGTCACATCCCAAAACATGCCTATTAAGAGAATATTCCCAAAATAAACGTGAGGCAGAACATTTGGTGCTAAGGGTCTGGCTATGTATACAGACACAGATGAGTGCCCTCACATAGACAGGCAGTCAGCATCAGACCCGTGACTGTAAATTCAGATATGCGGAAGGTACAAGAATAAGTTGGCATACTAATACATTTCTCTGTAAGGTAGAACCACACACGCCAAATCCAAAGACTATCAAGTCTAAGATGTATCAGTAAATATACACACTAGTAAACAATATGCCACAATTAAATTATTCAGAACATTCACATTGGAAACCCATATATAAAGGAAGCTCTTCATATATTGATTTTATTGCCCACCCAATTCCCTTTAAATAACACATTTGTCTGAAATTTTCTTGGCAGGATGTTTACTGCAAAAAGGTGTAAATATTTCATTCTACTCCCTCTGCAACATATTACCATATGTAGCACTCTAATTGAAAAACAGAACTTGTTTGCAGCCATGTGCCTTATCGATATCACATCTCCACTTAACTTTTTATATGCTACTTGCACGTATTTAACACAAAATAAGCAAAACTCTTTGCCTTTAAGACTATGAAGGGAAAGTTAATTAACACCTTGTTTATAACACGGACTAAATAATACCAATTTCTTCAGAAACTTCATATATTGGCTCCAAATCACCTACCACTAACCCCTTCAACACATTAAATTCTGAGCAAAGCCTAAATGTAGTATTTCCTAAAAAGCGTATGAAGCTAAACAAAGCAAAAACCTGAAAAATCCCCCCTAAGTGCTCTCCATTTCCCCTTTGCCCAACAGGCTGAAATGTGACTTGATCCTCCCCTCTGACTTCTACACTGTCCCCAGACCTCACATCACTTCTCTGTTTAACATCTTTCAAAGACTCCTAATCACTTATAGAATAAGATCTAAGTACCCACCATCACAATCCACATAAAAGCTTTCCTACCTGGCTCCCGCCTCTCCTCACACTAGCATAAATGACAAGCTGCTCAGTTAGCCCCAAACACCGTGTTCTCTTAGGTCTCTGTACCTTGGCGTGTGCCTTTCTGAGATCACCTTTTGCCAGTCTATTTTTCTGTAAATTTTCTGCTCATCTCTCAAGACTGCTTGCAAGTCTTGCTCCGGGCAGACTTTTCTCACAGTTTCATAAGCCAGAGACCACCTTTCCAAGCTACCCACTTACTGTGCACAAATTTCCACTGTTATGCTAACGATGCTATCATGCACTTTTTAATTCATGTGCCTATTTCTGTGAAACTGGTGCTCCTGAAAGGTAGGATCTACATGTTAATCATGTGTATAGTTCCAGGATCTGTTCCATAATGGAATATGTTATTTGAACAACTGGCCTAGATGAATTTTCTAGACTGCTTTTTCCTGATCAAACCATATAAACTTATTTCTTGAGTTACAACACAAGTAGGAGAGAGAGGACATCAGAGAATACCTTAATTCACCTTTACAACTAAACACTACATCTGTGATCCATGTATTAATTTCATGATATTTTGCTGTCTGAGAACCCCCTGGGCCATTAATTCGTGTAGTCTATGAGATGGATTATCATATAGACTGCTTTAGCTGCATCCTGAGCAAAAACAACCATGAAATCACAGGTTTCACATGTATATTTTATAATGAACATTAAAATAACTACATAACTATTAAAATAAAAAATGGCTCCCTCTGTACCACCTAATAATCTCTAGTAGTGTGCTTGTAATTCATTTGAAAATACTGCTTTAAAGTCAAGGCTTAAGATCAGATCCAACTTTGAGTCTCAAAAATATAGATAGGGAGGTAAAATTAATACATCAAAGTCAATTCTAAGTGATTAGAACATATCATGAGTTTTGACATGTATGGAAAGGGAAAAAGACTGAGAATAAATATACATATTCAGGAATTACAATATTAACTAAGGGCTAGGACCGAACCAAAGAGGATATATTACTCTGAAAATGGTATTTGTTTATTATTTTAAGTAAGCTCCACACCCAACGTAGGGCTTGAACTCACGACCCTGAGATCAAGAGTTGCATGCTCTACTGACTGAGCCAGCCTGGCGCCCTTACTCCGAAAATTTTAAAGACATGCATTCAGTTAGGTTGTCTAAATATGTAAATAAATGACTTCCTTACAAAGATAAATTATGATATGGACCTGAAGTGAATTTTGCTATCTAGTTAGTTTAGGAGGCTAAGATTAATAAAGCCTGTAAGCATGAATCCAAAAATGGCTTTAAGCACCAAGATAGGGACATTACCTCTCAGGCTCCCGGACCTGTAGGACAATGCCCAGGACTTGGCAGTCAGTCACCAAATATTTACAGAGGTGAAGAAGGGAGTGAGGAAGGAAGAAAGGCAGGTGAGGCGCAGGGACTGGTGTCTTCCACACCTGGTGTAAAATACTCTGCAAGAGATGCCACTTTCTGTCTCTGTACCTTTCCCCTCACTTGGACTCTAAAACTGATAAATATATGGAGAAGCCTTAACCTAAAAAAGTAAATCTCTTCTAAACACTCTGAGGTGATGATTTTCAAACTTCGTCCGTTTTCGATATCTTAATCCACATTAGTCAATTTCAAAACATTTCCTACCATTTCTTCAAAATACTACAGGGTACGATTAAAGAAGTCTATATCAGAGTGTATAAAATGTGTATGTGCAGTTTAAAAAGTTATAAAATAAATACCCACCTACCCACTAGTGTGCCTGAGAAACCGAAATATGGTTGTCACTCTGAAGCCTTGCTGTGGGATCTTAGGCTAAGAGCCCCCTCCCACCTCACTTGCTCCTCTGCTGGTAACCTGTATTCTGGATTTTGTATTAATCATGTCCTTGATTTTACTACTTTGGTGATTATGCATAAATACATGATTTAATACTTTTAAAACCTATATAGACTTACATAGATATATTTTTCTACAACTTGCTGCTCTTGCTTAAAATGACATTACAAATCATCCCTATTGATACATGTCACATTCATTTTTTCACCAACTGACTGTATGTCATTGCTTAATTATATCATAATCCATTCCACTGCTAATAAACACTTGGGTTGTTTCCATTTTTTCCCTCTCACAGTGTTGCCATAAGCTTTCTTGTCTAAGTCTCCTGGTAGCCATGTGTAAGAGTTTATCAGAGTGCAATTACTAGATTGAGTTATACACATTCAATTTTACTAGGCACTCGCCACTTGTTTTTACATAGTGGTTACACTAATTTCCATTCCCATCAGCTGTGTGAGAGACTTCCTAAATCTCCACGTTCTGGCTAACCCTTGTTATTGTCAGACATTTTAACATTCGCCAATCTAATGGGTGATAAATGATTTTAATTTGCAACCCTGACTGCCAAAAAGATTGAGCATCTTTTCCAGTATTTACAAGCCAGTTGGTTTCTTCCTCTGTGAAATGCCTACTCCTGTCTTTGGTGTAGTGTTACATAGGGTTGCCTTTCTCTTATGGATTTGTAACAGTTGTTTATATTTTTTTGTGGAAGACCTATGGAAGTTAGATCTTGCAAATAACTCCTACTTCACTTGTTTTTGACTAACAGTCATATTTTTTTAGGAAGTTTTTGTTTGGTTTGGTTTTAATTTTAGAGAGAGAGTGTGAGAGCAGGTGAGGGAGGAGGGGAAAAGAGAGAGAGAGGAACAAAGAATCTTAACTAGGCTCTACGCTCAGCATGGAGCCTGACAAGAGGCTCGATCCTACAACCCTGGGATCAGGACCTAAGCTGAAATCAAGAGTTGGATGTGTAACCAACTGAGCCATCCAGGCTTCCCACCACATTAACCATTTTAAAGTGTACAGTTTACCAGTAAAGTACATTCACATGGTTGTGCAAACAATCTCCAAAATTTTTTCATTCTGCCAATCTGAAACTCTATACTCATTAAACAACCCCTCATTTCCCCCTGCCCTGAGCCCCTGGCAATCACCAGTCTTCTTTTTGGTCCTATGAACTCTCTACTATCTATCTATTACTATAGATAACCTCATATAAGTGGAATCCTACAGTATTTGCCTTTTTGTGACTGGCTTCAGATACTTAGAGTAATGTCTTCAAGGTTCATCCATGTTGGAGCATGTATCAGAATTTCTCCCATTGTCAAGGCTGAAAAATATTCCATCATATATACTGCATTTTGTATACCCATTCATCCATCAATGGACACATGAGTTGCTTCCAAGTTTCAGCTATTGTAAATAATGCTGTTACGAACATGGGTGTACAAGTATCTCGGGACTATGCTTTCTTTTGGTATATACCCACAAGTAGAATCATTGGTAATTCTATTTTTAATTTTTTAAGGAACCTTCATGCTGGTTTCCATAGTGGCTGCATCATTTTACATTCCACCAAAGGTGGGTCCCAATTTCCTTACACGCTCACCAACACTTCTTTTTAAATACTAACCATCCTAATATATGTGAGGAATATTTTATTGTGGTTTTGATTTGCAATTCCCTAATGATTAGTGATGTCATATATCTTTTCATATGCTTGTTAGCCA